GAATTAGTTAACATGCTTTTAAACATGCTTTTTGCATATACTGTATATAAAGACTTTTTAGTAATAAATACTGATTTTTTGACTATGTAGTCAACAGTTTCTTTAAAATAAACACTATCTTGAAGTAAAATCTAAGGAATTAGTTAACATGCTTTTAAACATGCTTTTTAGATGTCAAATGAGTTTTGGTAACAGGACAGAGAAAAATGTAACCCTCTTCGAATTATTAACCTTGTAAAAAATTAAATACAGCTGACTGAGATTGAATTAAATATATGTGTTATTAGATGCAGGGTTGAAAAAAGATACAAAATTCATTTTAATTTGGAAGAGTTACAACAAGCAAATGGCACCCATTCGGTGATCGGACTGCAGTCACATCAGCTATCCGAGATAAGATGGTAACCAGGTTTGTCATTGTTGAAACTCATTCTGGTGCATGTTGGTATACAGCTGTCCCCACAGGAGCTGATGTATGGGGTAATAGTTCTTTGTTTTCATCCAGACTGTTGGTGGAAGATCTAAATACCTTCCAGTTCACAGTGTTTTATTAGTCCTTACTGTTTTATTCCCTGCTTCATACGCCACAAGAACCAAGACAATCTTTCTCTCTTCCAGGTCTGAGAGAAAAAAAAAACTGAAGTTTTATCACATCTCACTTTTGGGAGTTCTTGTGTCTTATTCTCAGTACATTATCCAGGCAGAACTTCTTTCTTGTGTAGCGTTTGACAACTATTGTGTTACTTGTCAGAAATTTGAAGTGGTTGAGGTTAATGCGAACAAGCAGAAATGTTGACATTCCTGCTTAATGGTTTTTGTAAGAGTTCTGTGCTTGAATTACTTGTGAAGTATAAACTGTCCTGGTCAGAACAAAGTTTGTTCTTGTTCTTCACACCTTGAGAAAATACACAGTTCAAACCTCAAACCTCACTCTCGAGGTTTCTGCAAGAACTGAGAAAACTGTTCTCTTCGTTAAAGTATCGGAAGACAAAAAAAGCAGAAAGTCCAACCTGCTCCACCTAACACGCAGTATCTGGTCTGCATACGCACGCCCGAGCCTCCTGCATGTTGCTAAAAAAGTTTGAATTAATATATAGTTAGCTATTTGGCACAAATTATCCCAAGAACSTAAAGCATTTATTGTGAAAGGTTGTTCATTTAAAGAAATTACGAGTGTTTTCTGCTTTGGTACTATTATATAAACAGCTGATTCACATACATCAGTTCAGTTCAGATTTATTGTCACATCACATAGCACAAGCGTACAGGTGAGTGAAAAACTTGAGTGCAAATTCCCACATATATGCAGATCACAATATAAAAACATACTAAAAAAGATTAGAAGAAACATTAAAAAATTATATATGTAAAAAACTGGTTTATTTAAAAATAGAATAGACGTACATTGTACACAATAACTGGTGTTATGAACGTAAACATACAGTATTACCAAGTTAATGTACAGATATGTTTATAACGATACGTATTTTGTTAAAAACTTATTTCAGCTACAAGAGCTGATAGTGTGGTGGGATGGACAGAACATTGTACTACTGACTGTTCAACATTCTAATTGCCTGAGGAAAGAAGGAGTCACGGAACCGACTGGTGCTGGTCCTAATGCTTCTGTACCTCCTTCCACTCGGCATTGGTGAGAGCAGCTGTTGACTTGGATGGGAGAGGTCCCTTAGGACCTTGAGGGACCTTCTTAGGCAGCGGTTGGTGTATAGATCCTGAAGGCTTGGCAGCTGCACCCCAATGATGTCCTGCGCTGTGCACACTACCCTCTGAAGGGATTTCCGCTCCCGAGCAGTACAGTTCCCACACCAGGTGGTAATGCTCCCTGTCAAGATACTTTCCACAGTGCAAGTGTAGAAGGTCTTGAGGGCACAGGGGTTCATGCCAAACCTCCTCAGACGTCTGAGGAAGTAAAGGAGTTGTTGGGCATTTTTCACCACCCGTGCTGTGTGTTCTGACCATGTGAGGTCCTCACTGATATTGACTCCGAGAAACTTGAAGCAGCTGACCCTCTCCACCACTGACCCATTGATGCAAATTGGAGAATGTGCTCTCTTCTGCTTTCTGAAGTCCATTAACAGCTCCTTGGTTTTGGTGACATTCAGTGAGAGATTGTTCTCTAGACACCAATTGGTCAGGATGTTAACTTCCTCTCTATAGGTCGATTCATTGTTGTGATATGCCCAATAGTCTTCATACCCCTTTACTCAGACCCTCAGTCCTACTGTAGTGGCCACAGAGAAGTCCTAGAAAGGACACGGCTCAAAAATAACCAAACTTCCAGACCACAGTGAAGCATGTGGACAGGTTGTTTACTTTCCCCTGCTCTGTACAGACTGCTACTGTCCAACCATGACTCTTGTTTTCTTAGTCATGTTAGCCTGTGTTTAGATAGGAGAGAAGGCACAAAACAGAATAGGAACAGAGTGTTAGGTTCAGCTTGCACGTAAACGAGCCCTTGGTAATGTTGCAGACGTGTTTCACATTTGCACGATAGTGCTGTGATCAGATGAATGCAAGACAGCAAACACGCTGTAGTTTCCTTGCCAGGTCATTGTGGTTTTTGTATTTCAACACGAGTGAGTGCAGAAAATTCTGTTTCACTCTTATTATGCTTCTGTTTGTGGTTTTGTATTGCAAAAAAAAAAATAAAAATAAACAATTTAAAGAAGAAAATCAGCTTATAATGTACTTTTGGCTGCTCCCTTCTGCAGGGGTCACCATGGCAAGCCAATGTGCACAAAATATTTGGCAGTCGTTTCATGCCAGATGATCCTGATGCAACCTGGGCTCCAACTTTGAGCCCCAGGATCAGGATCATGAGTCGGCAGGATTGACCCCCAAGATATTGTCGCACCTTTAAAATATTTCATATTGCCCAGGAAACAAACAGTTTTAATCCCTTTCTGCAGTTCATCTTCTCAAACTTACGGTATTTAGTTTTAAAAAACTTTTTTTACTGCAGATATAAACCAAAGAAATAATAAAAATAAAAAATATAAATAACAATAAATAAAAAATAAATCACACTAAACAGATACAATGAAGGAAGAAAAAGGGGAAGCAAACAGAATCCAAAACGAGATTGATATTTAAATAGGTTATTGTGCAGCTATGTGACTTTATTTTGTGTGCCGTGTCACAGGTTTCTTCTGACTGCAGTTGCAGCTTTATCCTGTTACTCCATTCACCTACTGCTTAAATCATCTGGCATTGTGGGTAAGTTTTGTATCATAGCAATGAAATCATACCTAGCAGCCAAAAAATTTGCTCGTTGTTGAATTAAAAGTCACGTTTTCCCTTCAGTCGAACCAAACTATGCCACAATGCCTGTTCAGCTGTAATGAAAAGACCATTAATTTAAAAAAATCTGCTCTTATATTAAATTGTTGTCTACACTCTTACACGCTATATTGTTTTGTACCCAAAAGATTTATTTTATAACCTTAAAAACCTCAACGATTATATGAAGGAAATGTAATAAAACTTTTTTTTAATCATTATTTTGTAAACTGATTTGTGGCCCTGACAAATATTGAAGCCATAAAAAATGACAAATCACATTATTCCTTTTTTAATCTTTTCAAAAGTGTTTTTATTGCTTTGCCTAAAGGGTCGTCTTGGCAGATGTAACCGAATGTTGTTGTTTGTAATCTGTTCACAGGAATTCGATCTTATGAGCAGCTGGGCWACCGGGCCTTTGGTACACCTGGAAAAATGGCTGCTGGTATCGCGATCACCCTGCAGAACATTGGAGGTGAGGAACCACATTTGTTAGAGAATTTTTTTGTGAATTTGTGTTTAGTTTATAAACTACTGAAGCAATAATTATACACCTTTAGATGGGTTTAACTTTATCCCCCACAAATAGATTATAATATCAACTTAAGTAATCCTACTTAAGTAGAATTACTTTTGACTTTGTTCTTAGTTGAAAGCATGAAAGCACCTTGCTGGTAAATGACTGCATTGTCTGTGCAGATGGTAATAAAGTGAGTTTCTTTCACTAAACAAACAACTTGATCTACCCCCCCACACACACACACACACAAAAAAAAAACAATAGATCACCAATTGGTTTATTCATCAACACTGTTGGTTACAGTAATACAATTTACCAAAAAATACATTTTTTAGTAAAAGTCTTTAAGCACAAGGCAGTTCAGTCACGCCAAATAAACTAAAATAAGGAATAAACATACATACATTTAATTTTTTCTTTCCGTGTCCAGCGGTCACTGTGCGAGAGGCAACGTACATCCTGTACAGGTCTCAAGTCCACCCTGTGTACATATTTATAATTAGTACTTTGAGTTCAAGACCTAAAAGTACTGCATGGGAAAATATTCCTAACGTGAAAAGAGAGGCAAGATCTGCTAACAGCACTGGGGGTGTCATTATTGTGCAGAAACTCTGGGACATASTTTTAGCCTTTTATAGCACCCACTACAATTAACAACAACAGAAAATGACTCACCACCACTTAGTTATTAAAAACTGCCCTTAAATGGTAATTTTGACATTTTAATATCAGAGTGTGTTTATGTACTTAAACAAAAATATTGCTAAAGTGGGTGTTTTGTTTTATTGTCTACCGTAATTTTTTTTTTACATCTGGCTTTTATACACTTAAAAACATGTAGAGTTTGCATGATGTATCACCATGCAATCTTTATAAAAACGAGAGACACTTTGTAAAATAAAAGGCATTCAAAATTATTAGTTTGCACTCACAGTTAGTAGTAGAACCTGCTTTTATTCTGTTGGAAATATGGCAGTAAAAAAAAAAAAAAAAAATGAAAGGCTGGCAACATTGGTTTATGTGCTTGGCAGTGTTTGTCCGCAAGACTGTATATTTGCTTAAAATGCAAATCAGTAGTTTCAGCTCTCTTTGATCTGAACACATTTTACAAGTGATGCAGATAAAATAGTTACATTTTTATCTTGGTCAACTTATAAGAAGCAATTTAAAAAAAACAACAGTTCCCTCTTCCAAGCTACTAAAACACCCCACATCCTGTATAAACACAGAGAACCTGACCACAGTGTCCTCAGCAGTGAATGACGTCCTAAAACACACATAAACATGACGTGATGACGACTGACGTGACGTGACTTTGCTTCTTCTCTGATCAGTTTACAAACATGGCTGCGCTCAGGTCTGCTTGGCATCCCAGTCTAAAGTTTTTTTYCCCTCCTCACAGCTATGTCCAGCTACCTGTACATTGTTAAATCTGAGCTGCCGCTGGTCATCCAAGCTTTCCTGAAGGCGGATCCCARCTCTGAGTGAGTATGCACGTCATCAACATCGGTGCGCGGGTGCCAACGAAAAGCATGTGAGTCCCACTTGTTGTTGACCCCAAAGAACAAACACTGCATGTGTGTCAAGTGACCTGACACATTATGTGGCCAAGCAAGTGTTTCAGTTTCCAGCCCGCATCGATTCAGTCAGTGTGGGGGTGTGATTGAAACAAACGCTTTTAATTGGCTGAGCAGCAGGAGTGCCGTGAATGCCGGGTATCTGTTTATTTAGGCACACACAAAAAAAGAAGCCTTCATTGCCGTCAACGTGTGGAGGCTTGTTAAAGGGATCCATGATTAGTTGTAACGTTAGACTTTATTTGATAAACATGTATTTTAACTGTAAAATAAAGACAGTAAAATACTGTAGGATGTTCAGTTTTTATAATTTTTAAACTAAAAATTTAAAAATATATTACACGGACGGGGCCATTTTATTTACACGCACAGCATTCTGGGTAAATGATGACATCAACTAGGTCATCGGTGCGAGGCTGCTATAGCGAGTTATATCCACCCTGAAGG